GAGTCTGCTTCTCCCTCTGGCCCTCCCCCCTCTCATGTGCTCTCTCTCATTCTCTCTCTCTCAAATAAATAAATAAAATCTTTAAAAAAAAAAAGTTGTTTTACTGAGGATTAGGGGAGGTGTTCTGGGCATGCTGCTTGGAGGACAAGTGCCTTGGCTTCAGAGTCGAAGCTGTGTCACCTCACATGCTGTCCTTTGCTTGCCAGCATGGGGTGCAGTTGTGTCATCTGTAAACCTGAATTTCCTTGCTTAGTAAACTGGATGAGGACCTGCCATCCCTTTTGTCCTGGCACATTTCCTCTTTATCTTCCCTAGCTCACACGTTCGCTTATGTGCTTCGGGTATTTGGTCGATCTGTCAGTGTTGGAGAGATGTAAGGAATGTCCAGGGTTTGGTTCTTGGATGTCTTTTCTCATTTACATTCACTCTCCCTTCAACTTCTCATGGCTTTTCTATTCATATGCAGATGGATTCTAGATTTATGTCTCTATTTTGGACCTCTTGTAGAAGTCTAGACTCTCAAATCCCACTGTTTCTTGGCATGTCTAACTAGTGTCTCAGTGTCACAAGTCTGAAATTGAATTGTAATCTTCTTTGCAAAACTGCAACTCTGTTCCTCCAGTCACTCAGTCCAAAACAGAGGAGTCATCCATGATTTTTCTCTTTCCCTTCACCCACTCCCAATTCATCAGTAAGTTCTGAAGCCTCTTTCTTCAAAACATACCCAGAGTCTCAACACTTCTCACAGGCCCCCCCATGCCCCGCCCCCTTCACTACTGCCCCGGACGAGCCATCTTCTGTCACCTGGATTGTGCTATCCCCATCCTACTTCTGCCTTTGTCCTTCTCCATTCTATTCATGACAGAGCAAGCTCTCTGCTCCAAACTTTCCAGAGCCCGCATCTCAGTAAAAGCCAAAGTCAAGGTCCCAGATAACTTTCTGAACTTATCTCCAACTACCCTCTCCCTGGCTAACTGTGGCAAGCTGAGGTCTCTGGAAGCAGATGCTGGAGACAGAATTGGTGGGGCTGGATATTTATTAGGGTTTAACAGCCAGAGAAAGAAGTGGGATGAAACAGGATGGGCCAAAGAGAGAGAAGTCGAAGTGAAGTAGCCCAGCAAGGCTGCAGGCTGCCTACAAGGAGCTTGGGGGCACATGTGGCCTGCTTATAAGTTGACTCTTATAAGGCCCTGAAGGCTGCACCTCTATACCTGCCTCATCAGCTATTTGCTGAGTGCTGCTCTGAGAAGGGTGTGACCTGGTAGAAGGTGACTCTCTGCAGCTGAGGCACAGGCGGAGGCTGTCTCCTGACCCTTTGGGTAGTGGTTGTCCATGTCCACTGCACTCTTCTCCAGCCACACTGGCTTCTGTAAACAAATCCAGCTCACTCTGCCTCAGGGCCTTTGCACTTGAAGGAAAGCAGTTTCACTAGAGCTTTTTCATATGTCTTGCTCCTTCATCTCTTTCAGGCTTCTGCTTAAATGTCACTTTGTGAATGAGGTCTGTTTCCCGTGATCATCCTATTAAAAGTAAGAAACTTACACCCTTTACTTTTCTCCACAGAATTTATTGTCATTTGATATACATAGTATATATTTAATCCCTGACTTATTATTGTCTGTATCTCCACATAAAATGTAAGCCAAGAAAGCCCTATCACATTGTAGGCGCTCAATAAATATTTGCTTATTGAATGAATGATGAAGGAAACTTTTGTTTATATGGGTTTGAATTGTAATATATCTCCTTGTATTGATGGAGTATAAGAATAACTTTAATCCCATGATATCAGTAAAATCTTTTGGAGCCACATTTATTAAAAAAGGTTTCTGGTATTGACTCCACGAATTTAGATATGATCAACATTAGAATTGATGATATTTTGAGATGTTTAAATTTCTCCCTACAAAATAACAAGTGTCAGATAATGAATACTGTAGAATTGTAAGTTTTAAAGACATTAATGTTTAAAATGTTAAAGAAAATGCGTGTTGTAGAAGTACTTACATCTCCACTATAATAGGTTAATTTAAAATCATTCTCTTTTGTTAACAAAAGCAAATTCTCCATCTTTACTTGGCAAATGATCCAGGAAACACTCATGGATATCATTGATGTTACTGTCATGACTGGAAAGAAATAAAAATGTACTTAAAATTCTTTATATTTTTCCTTAATCCAGACAAATCTTCCCATAATTAGTTCTTTTGTATCTTTGCTGTTTTACTAAGTATTTCATGGGGGAAAGTGTGACCCCAGCCTGCAGAGTTAGGAATGAGCTGAGGCCCATCCGGTTTGATGTTGTATGCTCTTTGTTAATATCATTGCTGGTTTTTGATTGTTTGGTTGGGTTTTTTTGGTTACATTTATTACAAACTGGGAAAAATTATCAGCAGCTTTGTTTTTTATTTTTTTAAATATTTAATTAATTTATTTATTTGAGAGAGAGAACTAGCAAGGGGAGGAAGGGACAGAGGGAGAGGGAGAATCTCAAGCAGACTCCCCACTGAGCACGGAACCTGACCTGGGACTCAATCTCGTGACCCTGAGATCATGACCTGAGCCAAAATCAAGATTCAGAGGCTTAACCAACTGTGCCACCCAGGCGCCCCAATCATTGTGCCTCTGATTCCCCACTCTTCCTGCTTCATGCTCCTCCCCAGATCATCTACATTCCTCTGTCCTGCTTTCTCCTTAAATGACCCAAACATTTCCTTATATAACCTGAGTCACTCTCCCAAGGTGGGAAAAAAAATCCAAATCCAAATGTTTGAAAACCGCTCGGTCAATGGTTACCTCTAGTTGATTGCCAAGGTGATTCAGCAAGTTCTCTTTCCTTTTCGATCTCTTCATTGGTAATCTTGCTGTTTCTAGAATGACCTTTTCTATAAACTTCACTAAGAAGATCTCTTAAAGGTTAAGATCTCTTAACCCTTTTGGGCCAATGCAAACTACATATCATAATGGAAAAGAAAATAACAAACTTGTAACAATTTTGCCATCATTGAATCATTGACAAGTGAGTTTTGTGCAGAATTTTCCAGCTGATGAAACCATCTTTTTTGACACCCCATTAGATGGGTAGAGAGGAGTTGGTCATAAGCTAACTCCAAAAATATTTTCTTCTGACTTCTTCACCTTCAAATGATTCCTTCCCTTCTTTAAACACGTTGAAATATTTTTGAACTGTTCCTGTTCAGGAAATGCAATCTTTTGAATTCCTACCAACCTGAAGGTTTTGTTTCAAAAGAGGCTACGCTGGTTTGTCCTTATTTTCTTTAGTTCATGATGTATAGATAGAGTCTCCACCACAGAGGTATTAACTGTAACACCATCATGTACATATTTCATCTACACAGAGAGTCCTGGTCCAGGATGAGACTCTTGCAACAGAATCTTTGCTTTGCTTGTTGTCCTTTTCTTCCACTTAACGAGTGAGAAAAATATGCTTTCTGAATGATTCAAATTAAAACCTTAATGCCGGGGTGCCTGGGTGGCTCAGTCAGTTAAGCAGCTGCCTTCGGCTCGGGTCATGATCCTGGGGTCCTGGGATCAAGCCCCACGTCCGGCTCCCTGCTCAGGGGAGAGCCTGCTTCTCCCTCTCCCTCTGCCTGCCACTCTGCCTACTTGTGCTTTCTCTCTGTCTGTCAAATAAATAGATAAAATCTTAAAAAAAAAAAACCTTAATGCCCTATATCACTTTCCAGATATATTTCAGGTTAAAGTTTTTTTTTTAACTTAAAAAAATTAAAGTTTTTGGTATTTTACCAACAAAGTAGCACTATTTTGGCAAAAAAAGATTGCACAGAAATTCAAAATGCCAGACACCCACCACAATTATAAGTCAATACATATTCGTTGGGTAAATTTGATAAGAGCTTAACCCTTCATTAGTCTGGTACTTTGACCCTTATACAGTGTTACTTCAATTTCACAAGGGAAGAGAGAGAGGGTCCAAGAAATTAGGGAATGCACCCAGGGTCATAGAGCCAGAAAATGGTGCACTTGACGTCTGTGCCCAGCTCGGTCTTCTGCCTCCAAGGACATTTTTCCTCCGCATGGGTGAGACCTTGCATTAAGTCCCACTGCCTGTCGGGGTAGGTGTTCAGAGTGAGAAGATGACATTATCTTACCAGGGTCCCAGGGGCACAAACACTTGGAAGACGGGCTTTGGATGGGCTTTAAGGGGCCCCTCCCCATACTCCCTCCTTCTTGCCCTCTATACCCTCCGTCCTCCATGGCTCTGCTACCCAGCTGCTCCAAGTGGTCAACACTGCAGCCCTCTGACCCAGAGGTTGATGGTGGGGACCCAGGGTCTCTCTGATCGCTGTTGGTCTTTCAAACGTCTCAGATGGAACATCTCAACAGCAAGCCTTCCTTTTGCTAATAATGATTTCCCTTGTGGCATAACTGATTAGTTATTATGCCAGTAACCACACAGACAGACAGACAGGCAGACACACACAAATTCTAGGGGTGGGGGTGGCAGGGAAGAAGGGGAGTGAACCCTGTCCTGCCTCATGGTGACCTTCCCAGTGACCATCCTTTCCTTCTTTCTCACTGGGCTTCCATAGTTGGCACATGCCAGGTGGGACTAAATCAAGCTCCGAAGATTTTCCCCTCTACATTTATTTTGGCAGCCAGCCCATCTCAGCATATTACAGGATTTAAATGGGAAGGCGACAGGCGTCTAATACTGGTTATTGTTTTAAGAGAGAATGTATTTCGTGTAAGTGATATCTTCCATGATAACAGCGTTGGCTAAGCAGACTGGAAAACCACATTTCTTTTTTCTTTTTTTATTATTATGTTCAGTTAGCCACTGAATAGTACATAGTTTTTGATGTAGTGTTCAGTGATTCATTAGTTGCGTGTAACACCCAGTGCTCATCACAGCACGTGCCCTCCTCAATACCCATCACCCCGTTACCCCCTCCCCCAGCCCGCCTCCCCTCTGAAACCCCCAGATGGTTTCTCAGGGTCCATAGTCTCTCATGGTTCATCTTCCTCTCTGATTTCCCCCCCTTCAGATTTCCCTCCCTTCCCCTGCGGTCCTCCGTGCTATTGCTTATGTTCCACATATGAGTGAAAATTACATTTCTTAGGCTGGCTACTACACTTGCATTTACTGGGAGATAGTGCCTGGAGCCGCTCCATTCAGTCACCGTTCACTTGGAAGCTGAGCCCTTTCGGTGAGGGGGAAAAAAAAAATCTGCGCTCCACATGATTTCACTTTTAAGCCACCTACTTGGATGATTTGAGCCACACCAGCAAGATTGCTCTGTCCAAATTTCAAGCCCTGTATTTGGGTGCCACTGAGTTGACAATTCCAATCCTTGGGTTCAGCATTGTCTTCTCCCGAGGATGTTTGTTTTTTAAAATCTTAACTTTTCTGCAAGGATAAACCCATTAAAGTCGCTAATGTGTTTCTCTGAGGGTTTTCCAAATTGTTTTCCTCTGTTAGAGGGGAGAAGTGGAGGCAACAGGGTGCAAGATTCTGAGAGGGAAGATTTTGTTGATGTGTGGAAATGACTGTGAAAAGGAGATAAGTGAGAGCATGGGGGGAGCTGTCTCCCTGACCTGCCAGGGTGAGTGCCGACTCTGGGGAAACACTCAGAATACTCTGGGACTTCATTTCCTCTATTCCTGGGGAGTTCTAGTTCTCAACAATGATACCCATTTTAAAGACGAAGAAACTGGTACTTAGAGAGCTCAAGTGAGTTTCTCAAGTTCAACGATAACTATGCCGAACATTCTGGAACAGAACTCAGATTATTTATTGTCTGTTTCAGTGTTCTCTTCATAATAACACCCTATTTTTCATTATGCTTAATATATGTACAGACATTTTTAAGGATCAAGCACCTCTTGTGTTTGTATGATTTTTTGTTCTTGTTTTTAACTTCTCATGGCTAATTATTCCTGAAAAAATCTTTAGTCAAGCTTTAAAAAAAGTACTAGAAGAGGGACGGTTGGGTGGCTCAGTCAGTTAAGCGTCTGCCTTCAGCTCAGGTCATGATCCCAGGGTCCTGGAATCGAGGACCCATGCCTGGCTCCTGCTCAGCGGGGAGTCTGCTTCTCCCCCTCCCTCTGCCCCTCTGCCCCCCACCCTCCCACTCATGCGTGTGCTCCTCCCCCAAATAAATAAATAAAATCTTTAGAAAAAATACTAGAAGACCCACTTGCCCAACAATTCCAGTAGAAAGAGGGAGGGGGGATAGTTTTCGTTCTTAGTAAAAACATCATCTTTTATATTCTTTATTTTTTAAGTTCAAAATGAATCCAGGAAGCACATAGGTTTAAGAAGGCAAAGTACCCTTTTATCTTTCTCCTAATTTTATCCCCATCAAAATAAATGTTCTATCTTTCTTTCTTTTCTTCTTTCTTCTCCACCATTCAAGCAATCGGCCAAGTTGGTTCTTCATATCTCAGATGAGTGGTGAGATGGAGTATGAAGCAACCAGTAAAGAATTCCTGGTTTGTTTTCGGAGCCCAAGCCTCTGAGAGAACCAGGAATGCTGGCAAAGGCAACAGAAGAAACACTTCTCAGGGGGAAGGTCTGGGGTTGCTTATGGATCCAGGGCAAGCATCCCTTGTCCACAGGTTAGCAGACTCCTGGAGCTGAAGGGACCATGACAGCAAGAGCACTGGTGGCTGGTGGAGCCAGTGTGGACAGGTGGCTGATGACCAGCTTCCTACCCCTGCCCTGCTCTGTTTCCCTGCCTTATATAGGACCTTGGACCTGAGGCCCAACTGGGGGTGGGGAAGCACTTCCAGAAGTCATGTTAAAAGAATATCCTAGCCCCAAACTCGATTGTTCTAGACATATGTCTTTATCTTCTGCAAGCCTACTTAGAGTCACATTTGAGACTGTCTCCATAAGCTGATGGAGAATAGAATATTCTATATTTCGTTAAAGCATACATAGACAAATGAGATCATATTATATATATCTCCTGGTAATTTCCTTTTTACCTTAATAATATACCTCTTTCTGTGACATCAAAGAAATAATTTTTGTTTATCTTTTTTCCAGATATATAATATTAAATGGCATGGATGTTTTTATTGTTTCAGGTTCTCCAGGGGTTGGCAAAATCAGGCATGTGCCTATACAGACAAATTGAATGGCAAGTATGGAGACCCAGGGCAGGATTGGAGAGCCCTCTGCAGGCAGGTGGTCCTCACATTGTGAGGGGTCCAGCTCTGTCTTAGCCCCTCCTTTCCCTGTCCAGCCACTGCACTAATAGTTTAGCAGCAGATGGGAAGGGGGAGCTCCGCAGACCTTGTCACTGCTGCCTGCATTTGGCACAGGGTGCAGGCTGAAATAGCACATCCTTTCTAACTCCCTGGCTCGGCAGTTTTTTGTTTTTGTGATTAATGTCCAGTGCAAAGGTGAGTAATGTAGCAATTCATTGTAATTCGAGTTATGGGGAATATATGGACTCCTTCGCTCAGCATCACCTTCTCCAAGTCCTTGTCACATAAAAAGAATCATTACATTGGGAATACACTGCCATCAGCCACAAGACCAAGCAGAGATACAACTCACATGCCCCAGCTATCTCCACTGCTAGCAATGCGAGCCCTTCTTTGTAGAACTGGACGATGCTAACCGGACTCAAAGGATAGAAAAGAAAGCTCTCCATGTCTACTCTTTGGCCCTACCTGTTTTAACTACTATCTAAAAATGACCAGTCAAGTCTAAATGACCCACAAGTCTAAATGACCCTAAATTCATTTCAATTTTATATTGTATTATTATCACCTCAAAGTGACTTTTGAGCTCCCAGGAGAAGTTTGGGAGTGGGATGAGGGGAAGAAATCTGGTTGGCCAGCGTAGGAGGGCCTCCCACTCCAATAGGTCCCGGAGAGCATGGCTGCTGTCCCCTTGGGTGGGGGGCAGAACAGGTGAGTAGATGAGATGCAGTTGAGAGCCTTCGTACTGGCTTCCAGATTCAAGGGAAGTGGTAAGATGCCTGCAGGCCTGAGGACCCCAACTCTGCCAGCTTTGGAAGTAAGTGCACACCCCTTGGGGTTTCCATAGCTCTATAGGAAAGGGGGTGGAATGCAGTGAATCTGGATTGCCTGTTCTGTCCTCTGAGACTGCAGTCATGTTGTGCGGGTGTTCATATCAACTGGAAGTATTTCTAAATTCGTTAGCTGGTGGGGTCGGAGACCTTGGGTTCTTCTTTTACTAATGCAAGATAGATGTATCAAAGTTAGAAGGGTAAAAGTGCACTTGGATGGGGTTGAGCAGTATTATCATCTTTACGGAAAAAATGCCCTGCCCGTGGAGAAGGTGCTGGAAGGTAAGGGAAGAGAGGAATGAGCTCAGCCCCTATGGATTACCTGCATTTGGCAGGTAAGTCCCCGTTGATGCACTGTGGGTATGTGCGTGCCTCCTTGTGCATGCATGTTGAGGGACAAGAGGAGCAGGGCAAGCCTCCCTGACCCAGGGCACCTGGTCCCACTGGGATTTCCTGCCACACCCGGGTGTCTGTCACTCAGATCTAGTCACCAAACCCACCAAAGCCCTGGAAGGGCACTGAGCAGAGGTGGGAAAGTCTCCTTCCACTAGCCCCTCTCACAGTGCTGGTGCCAGCCACTGCCTGCGCAAATGGACCCCGTGCATCGGATCTTGAGCCCAGGTTATTGTTCCCAGAGATGTGTGAACAGCAGTACCTAGCTCCCAGGAATGACAGCATGTGTTACCTTTAAAAAAACCTCTCTTCAATTTTACAGCACCCACATTTCAGGAACAAACTTTGTGTGCAGTGTCTCTTCTGCTCTGCTGCCCCGCTCCCCGAGCCACATCGAGGCTCCCTCCATCTAGTGTGGTCTGATTGAAAATTCAATTCAACTCACTTCAGATATGCATTGAGCACCTTTATGTTGGCAGCAAAGTGGTAAAAGCCATAGGGGATACAAAATAAGTATAAAGCACATTTTTTGTCTTCAAAAAAAGTCTGCTGTGCTATAGGGAACAACATGGAGAAACAACAAGAGACCAACATGAGACAGAATATATTTACTCATCAGAATATGTTGTTCTGACATTAAGTGCATTGGATGTTCCAGAAAAAGAGATCTCAGGGAGGGCCAGACTTGTCAGGGCAGAAAGGCATCTTGGAGGGGCTGGGAGCTGGTTTGGGGCTTTGAAGGATTGGGAGTGTTCAAATATGTAGCCAGATCACATGCAAAATTTTTCCTGTTATTTCAGGTTTTCTACTGAAGCCTTCAAGCTGAAAATAACATAACCTAATTACTTGCACTGTCTAAGAGCTCATGAAAGAGCTGTCAGCCAGGGCTTACTTAGAGGTGGCCTGGATGTCCTACAGTCCTCAATGGCCGCTCCCCAGTTCTGTGCCCCTCACGCCCTCCTACCAGTTTATAAAAGCAGATTATAAATGTGAGAGGAGGTCCTTACTGGGTTTTTTAGTAGTAGGTGGTCTGCCTGGTACGAATGGGGGATGTTTTCTCTCCTCTCCATTTGGAAGAGGGTAGGGTTGTCCTCATCTCCCCTAAGACAAGAGAGAAGAGAGCCTGGTGCCCACTACTGGGCTTGATGCTTGCTGAGGAGTTGAAGCTGTAGGCCCATTCTGGGGCTGTTCCTGGCACAGAGCACAGTGGGGGAGGTCTTGGGAGAACTTGGCACAGGTCCCCGGATGAGAGAAGGTATTGTGAGCATAAAGACTGGTACCCACTTCTGGCAGGGGAAACTTGGAAGGAGGGGGAGGAGGGGAGCAGCCTGTGATGTCAGAGCTGGGGGCTGCCTGCGTTCCCACCACATGGCCTGCCAAGGATTGGTCAGTGTCCTGTGGACCCAGTGGGTGCTGTGGAAGAATATAGAAGCAGATTGAAGAGGGTGGCCTCCTGGGGGAAGACTCCGAGCCATGCAAAGCTATGGGGTGTATGAATGAGAATAGGTGAGGGGAGACATATTCCAGGAAGGTGGTGAGGAGCTCATCCTTCTTGTTCAGCAATCATGCAGCATGGAGGTCCCCTGGGAGAACTCCCCAAACCCACATGTGGCCCCAGTGTGGAATACCTGTCAGATCAAGGCTGTTGCTGGTAAAGGGGAACAGCACGAGTTATGGAAGAGGGGCTCTTTCCCTCATGCTTTTCCAGCCCTTGAGGAGGAAGAGGGAGGATGGAGAGTGGGGAGGAGGAGTGCGGGGACCGACCAGGCTCTTTCTCTCTCTGTGCTATGGGTCAGGCCCCCAACTGGGAGAAGGGGAAAGCCTTTACATCGCATGGGAGACTAGATTTGATTTTTCCTGGGCAGGACTTCCTAGCTCCTGAAAGGTGAGTCTCAATGGTCCAAATGAGACTCTTCTTTGTAACTGATAGCACTGAACAGCCCTGAGAGCTGTTGTCCTAAGATGCTATCAGGGGGCAGGCAGGGAGAGGACCCAGAGTTCTACTGAAGGGCGTCTGCCCCTGGCACCCCCAGGAGGGCCAGCGAACTGATTTCAGAGAGACAGGAGCACCAGGAAGGGCAGTTCAGGAAAACACAGGACCCAAGTGGGAGCCATGGGTGGGGTGTGCCTGGAGTGTTGGGGGGTCTCGGTGACTTTGTCTGGTTGGAGGGGAGGGGACAGCAGAGACTCACTGTGGGAGACTTGAGATAGGACTTCCAACATTTTTGAGAGGATTGGCAGCAGGAGGGGCTAAAGCAAGCAAACAAACAAACAAAAGGAATATCCCACTTCTCAAGCAGGTTTCCTGGGAAAGGCTCATTCTCCACAAAACCACCTCCTCCTTCTTTCCTGAGCGTTTCTAGCCACCAGCCAACATTTCTCCCCAGTGCACACTAGTTGGTGTGTTGTTGCCACGTGGGTTTGAGAGTCTGTCTTCTTGTAATATTCTCATTTACCCATTTGTAAACAGAGGCCCAACTGAGGGGGGTTCCTGGAAGGAGGGACGCTCCATGCCTTTCTTTTCCAATTCCCACAGGGGCAGGAAGACCCACTGAGCCTGCACTTGTGTGACTGGATTTAAGTCAACTTGGACCCAGAGATGAAAGTTTAATTTCTTGTTTTATAAAATGAATGAGGAACAAGCAGGAGACAGGAGGCGTTTTGGTTTGTGGGGCATTGGAAGAAGCGACCCACCATGGTTTCCTGAAGAGTGGATTTCCAGAGGGTTTTAATTATGATCACCGAGCTACAGCTTGGAGAGACACGGCTGCTCAAGTAGGTAGCAGTCTGATTTCTACTGCTGTCTGGCTGGCTTGCCTGGCCTCCTTAGCAGTCCACAATTTAGTCTACACTCTTGGGGGGCAAGAGAGGCCTTGTTACTATAAACCAAATTTATTCTGACTTTGAGCTTTAACTCTCTAGAGGGTAAGAAATTAGGTCTCAATCATGTTTGGAAGGATGCTCCATTTCCATGCATGCACAGAAGGATCTGGGCAGTGGTTTTGGCAGAAGGGCCTCTGGTCTCTAGCCTATCATTGTGATAGCTATGATTCTCATTGTTCAAACTCACATGGTTTATTGGAAGTTGATTGGCTTTACTGCTTCCCTGTCAAGCAGTGGCATGCCATCTTTAGCTACCGTTCCCATGGTCACCTCTCTTAATATTCTGTCTCCCCAGCATCCCTGAGCCAACTCCAGTATCTCTCCTTAAGGGGCTGCAAAAACTTATCTCCTTTGCAAGGCTCTTTTGGAAAGAGCTACCAGCTGCTTTTGATATGGCTGCTCCCACATGCCCAGCCTAGCCCCATCCACTGCTCTGGGACCACGCAGCCTAACTGCTTCACCAAGTCATGGGCTTGGACACAAAAGTCTGGATGGAGGAAGAGAGTCCCTCTCCCCGCACCCCCCCCAACACAAAAGCACACAAGAAAAGGCAACACCAGGCCTGGCTCCTTTTTTGTATTTGCTGGAGAGTGGAGAAGGAAAATACCTAGAGTTATAAGTAAGAAACCACAAATACATTATCCTGTCACATCTGTCTCATCTTTAGAGTCTAAACAGTGAATAAGCTAAGGCAATTCCCTCAGAGACTTGCTTTAGCTGTCCCTGAGTGCTGTCAGCAGCTAATGTTCTTAGCAAAGAAGGTATGAGTGCAGTGGTCCTATGGAGCGGTCTGGGTTGAGCTGAGTCCAAACATCAACCATCAGCCTTCACCTCCATGGCCCACCTGTGGGTTGCTGCTCAAAATATATGAGAGAATTTGACCATGACACCTTACGCACTGTCAAAGACAAAAACCAAACAAGTAAGGAAGTTGATTTTATTCAGCCTGTTGCAATAGGGAAAGTACCCCAGATCTGAAGCTCAGGATGTCTTAGGAGAGTGGATTTGCCTTAGACTTTTACAGGGAGGGGTAAGCACATGGCAGATGGGATGATTTATAATTAAGGTTGTATTTTAAATAGGGGAAGCTTCAGTCAGCACAAGAAATGTTTTTCCCCTGTGGCTAGCTAGTTTCCAGGAAACAAACATTTTGAATCATTCATGAAATAAAGAATGGGAAATTGGAGGGGCATCTGGGTGGCTCAGTCGGTTGAGCAGTTGAGCGTCTGACTCTTGATTTCAGCTTAGGTCATGATCTCAGGATTGTGAGATGAAGCCCTGTGTCCAGCTCCATGCTGGACGTGCAGCCTGCTTGAGAGTCTGTCTCTCCCTCTTGCTCTGACTGCTCCCCCCAGTCCTGCTCACTCACCTGCTCTCTCTCTAAAAAAAAAGAAAGGAAAAAAAGAGAAAAGAATGGGAAGTTGGAGGGTCTAGGTTGAATGGTGTCCCCCTAAAAGATGTTGAGGTCCAAACCCCCAGTATTTGTGAATGTGTCTTATTTGTAAATGGGGTCTTTGCTGAATGTAATCAGGTTAGGATGAGGTCATAGGGTGGGCCCTAATCTTCGAGCCAAGTAATGCCAAAGATTGATGGCAACACTAGAAGCTAAGAGAAAGGCATGGAATGGGAGGTTCCCTATAGTCTTGAGAGAACATGGCCCTACCAACACCTTGATTTCAGGCTTCTAGCCTTCAGAACTGTGAGACAAAATTTTTCTGTTGTTTAAAGCCACCTAGATGTGTTTCTTTGTTATGGCCACCCTAGGAAACTAATACAGTCTGTGCCTGGTAAAAGGGGAAAAGTATGCGTTCAGTCTTGTCAAAGGTAAACAAGGGCAGCATCATGGTCTTATGGGAGTCATGATAAAGTGTGTCTTGCATAAGTCATGTGCAGAGGACATTTTTGTGAAGCCATTTCGGGAACACAAAAGGGTGGGGGGTTTCTTATCCTCACTGGGAACACAGGGCTCAGTGTTGTGAACCCACTTAAAACCCATAAATGGATTTCCATTCGTACCAGTTAAATTCCAACCTTCCTAGTCTTGATATCCAAGGGCGGGGCCTCCGAACCCCACCGGCCTTGTCTGCCTTGCTTGTTACTCTTGCACTATCCACATGCCTCCCTGTGTGGTTCCACAAACACACCTGGTGGTTCACTGATGTGTCTTTGTTAGTGTCATTACTTTTGCCTGGAACATGCCCTCTCTCTCTTCTTTCTCTCCTTTAGTTTCACTCAGCTTCTATATCCATTTCCCTGAGGAACCTACCCTCACACCTGTTTCCAGGTCTCTCTGGGATTTAATGGAAGCCAGGGCTCACCTCTGCAGAACACTCTCCGCCCTGGATTGGAGTCAGGTGCTCCCATTGCTGTCTCTCCTGCTGGGCTGTAGGTTCCCTGCACGCTCTGCTTCTGTTATCTTACTGCAAAGCTCACTGCTTGGTACAGAGAAGGTGATAAATAAGTATTTGTTGAGCTGAAATGAACTCTGTCTCCTTCAGACACCTCTCCCTGACCCTTGGAAATGTTTCCTCTTCAACATGTCATGTTATTATTATTTTTTTTTCCCTGAGAGCCCCTTCGCTTCTAAGTTCAGCCCTAGCAGAGAGGTGAGGTCTGTATTTTCAGGTTTCATTGCTTTCTCCATAGAAGCATTCCATTTAACAGTTATAGTATTCCAGCTACAACCAGAAAAAAAAATCCTCTTTCTTTGCATAGGCTTAAAAGAATATTTTTATCTCATCACAAAAGTATTGCATGCTCATTGCAAAATAAAGTTTGGAAAAATATAGAAAAGCAAAGAAATCCAAAAACATGAAATCATCTATCATTCCACAACCCAGAATTAACTATGTATTGATGTCATATCTCCAAACAAAGTGATTTTCATGTTGTACATTCTATATTGTAACCTGATTTTTTTTTACTTAACATTTCGAGATCAATCTTCCACATTAGTAAATACTCATTTTTGTGAAAAGCACAAATGGTTTTCAGGAAGGAACTTTTCCATCTAGAGACAATTTCACTCTTCTGGTGAGAAAATCCCTTCCCCGCCTTTTTGAGGACGAACATATTTGGCTAAAAATCCCCCACAAGTTTGGAAATGTTAGAAGTATCTCTCTTGGAAGGTGATATTGAGATTGGTTGCTAAAAATAATAACTAAATTAAAAAATAAAATGAAGAAATGTCTAATGTAGAAACGTCGTTTCTCTTTCAGTTCCAATGACTGTCTTTTTAATGTACTCCTGTATGTTAGGAACCTAGAAGTGTATTCCTGTGGCTATGCAAGAAGGCACCCATCATTTCCCCAATCAACTTCACCACTGTCATCATCATCATCACCAACATCATCCGCATGAGAATCATCTTCACCGTTGTCTCCAGCATCATCACCACCATCACCACCAGCAGCCTCTCCTTCACTATTATCACCATCATCTTCATCACCACTACCACCATCAGCAGCATCACCATCATCAACTACCAACATCACCCTCACCACCATCACCATCATCATCACCACTACCAGCATCATCTTCACCGTCATCATCACCACTACCACCACCAGCATCAACATCACCACTATCACATCATCACCATCACCACCCTCTTCACCATTATCACCATCATCTTCATCATCACCACCGCCCTCAGCAGCATCACCATCATCAACCACCAGCATCTTCTTCACCACAATCACCATTATCACCATCACTATCATCACTATCACCATCATCATCATCACCATCACCACCACTACCATCTCTTTCTTGTCCTCTCTTCCTCTTCCCCCTGCTCCTCCTCCCCCTCTCCTTTTCCTTCTTCTCCCCTCTTCCTCATTCTATTCCTTTATTATTTTCATCATCATTCTCATTCCCATTTCAACTTGCATCATTTAGAGATCTGGGAGTTATATGAATACTGAGGTATACGAGAGCAGGAGAGATGATGTTAAAAATTGCTGGAATACATTTAGAATTTTTTCCTAAACTATTTTAATCTCCAGGGCTGATTTAATTCTCTGATGTGGAAACATGACCTGTGAGATAATCTTGATGTAACAGCTTTCCTTTCAGTCTGATCAATTTTTAAAAAAATTTCCAAAATAGCATTAATAAAGACAAGTCAGAGATAGTATATTTTACTCATCTGCATTTATATTTATCTAACTCACACACCTGCTTAATGTGTAAAGGTCAGGCTTTTAGACAGAAATCTCACGTGGATCTCCCTGAATTATGTAGAAGTTTACCTGGCTGGATAATTTGTACGACTTTTTACAGAAACTATAGTGAATGCATTCCAAGTCATAATATACAAATTGGCGTTTGTATTTTCTCCTCTGAAGAGGGCAGTGACCCTGAGAAAGATGTCAGTACTGATACCACAGAGCAGACCCCACGTAAGAGCACCTGGTGTCTCCAGTGATTGAAATGATATATTAATGAGCTCTTATTCTCAGTGACATTTTACCAGGAACCAATTAACTGTAGTAATTACATGTCTTCCATTGCATGCTCTGAAATGTGAAGTGCACGGGGGTTGGGTTGCTGTGTTTGTTGAACATTTTTTTTCCATGTGACAACCCTTTAAGCGTTAAAACTTTGAGTCATTTATTATGTTTCCCTTGCCTTCTGGGTGTCGCAGAATGAAGGAAAACCTTGCAAAGGATGAGTTTATAACCACACAGATACTGGTGCATGTAAATGAGCATAGCCCAATACTAGAAAGCCTCACCAACGCTGTGCTTTAAGGGTGGCAGAAAATACAGAGGGGAGAGGGCACATGGCTAAAAACAGAAAGAGTTCACCCTATATGTTAAAAAAAAAGAAGAAGAAGAAGAAGATAGCAGGAAGTGAAAAATGAAGGGGGGGAAATCGGAGGGGGAGACGAACCATGAGAGACTATGGACTCTGAGAAACAAACTGAGGGTTCTAGAGGGGAGGGGGGTGGGGGGATTGGTTAGCCTGGTGATGGGTATTAAAGAGGGCACGTACTGCATGGAGCACTGGGTGTTATATGCAAACAATGAATCATGGAACACTACATCAAAAACTAATGATATATGGTCATTAACATAACATAATTTAAAAAAAAAAACAAAAAACAAAACAAAACAAAGAGTTCAAACTTCAAAATAAAAACCAGATAGATGGCTTAGGGAAGCAGAGATTGAATAAGGGGCTCTGGTTAGTTGACTTCTAGATAATGGGGTGAGGGCTGGTAAATGGAAAACTTTTTTTTGTTTGTTTTAAAACTGTTGAAAAAATTTCAGAAATACTGCAGTTTGGATTTCTAAAGTAAATAACCCTTTAATACTTCACTTCCCTCACTATAAAATTTGGATAATGATTGTATTTACCTATTAAGTTTGTTGTGAAGGTAAGTTAATATATGTACAAGTACTTAGGATGGTACTGGGTAGATTGTAAATGCTCAGTGTCAGTTATTATTGTATTAAATCTATTGAACATAATTTGACATTCTAAAACTTGGAAGTTATGGATGGAGCTGCACACTCAACTTTTAAAAAATAGCGTATAGTGTTTATAAGATATAACATATAATTGGGTAAAAATGAAAATAGTACACAGTAATGAAAAAGCACAAGAAACTAAAACTAGCTCAGATCTCACACATTCAAAGATAACCACTGTTAAAATGTTTTGGGAAATCCTTAATGTACTGAAAATAAAAATTAAAAAAAGCAAAAAAAAAATGTTTTGGGAAATCCTCAATGTCTCTACAAATAAATATGAATATATTCACAGGTAAATACACCTAATTTTATACTTTTGAATCGTAATATGTTCTTCTGTAAGTGACCTCTATCACTTACACAGTGTGTCCCAGATGTTTTTTAATCAATCAATATGACTTCCATCATCATTTTTAGTGGATGTATAATATTATGGAGCATATATATCATAAATCATTGACTAGCCCCCCTCATGATGAATATTTGAATTGTTTTCTTTATTTTTTTGATATTATATAATTTCTTGTATTGTAAATTCAGAAGTATAAGATAGTTGGGTCAAATGGTTATACATTTTATATTTTGAATCATATTTTTGCACTGCTCTTCTAAAATGGTAAAGCTAATTTATACTCAACGTGGGTAAGATTTGCTAGGCAGAAGTTAAGAGGTTGATGTCAGGGAAGAAGGATATTTTAAATAGAAGGGACAATGTGAGCAAAAAGGGAGAATGTGAAACTATTCACTGTATTTGGGGCAACTTCCCCCCTTTACTTGATCTTGCTATTTTTCACTCCACATTTTGTGGAACTCTGTATCTTATATCAGCTGGTATAGGTGATAGTCATTCTTCTAAAAGGTATGGTGTGGGTAAACCCTGATTTATTCGATTATTTTAAAAAATTTATATATTTATTTTTATTTAATTTTTTAAAAAATATTTTATTTATTTATCTGGCAGAGAGAGAGAGAGAGATTGAGAAAGAAGGCAC